TTCTGGCTTTCTTTGATCTGGATAAGCAAGTGGGTAAATCATCGAATTCTTATACAAGAACACCTAGAATAAGAACTATGAATATAATTCAAACATGACTTTATAAAAAAAAATTAACCTAGTGGGGTTTAGGTCTCTTTTCAGTTTAGGCTTAAAGAAAAGAGAGAAAACACTTTTTAAAATTCTCTAGTATTACTGAATAAAGTACTTTTTTCTGAAATTTTTTCTTTTGAACTTTTTCTTCTATTTGTAACATTAATTCATGGATCTCCACCAAAGTGAATACTTGTAGAGTATGGTTTAAAAGGATAAATGCTTTTGTAAAGATGATTCCTGCCACCCTCCACCCCATAAGTTCAGGATATACTAGATAACCTTTAAACATAACATCAACATCGCACATTTTAATTTAGGAAATGCATTTCTCTTTATAATTTCATACTACATTGCAAATCTTGGGTTGACTCACTCTAAGATTTCTTTCTGCCCAAAGGATTGTTTTTCCCTTTACATTACAGAACATCATAACAAGACTTTTTATGGCCAGTTAGCAATTTAGATGATACTAAAAGCAGTGAACTGTGTCTAGAAAGTACTATATTAAGGTGTTTGGTGTGTAAATGTTAACTTAGCTCATATATTTACAAAACTCTTATTAAAGTTTCATTTTTTTTTACCATAATGGTATCTTTCCTAGATTACATTATAAACTGAAAATAAGCACTTTCTAAAATAAGTAATAAAAAATGGCCTTAAATTTAAATTGCTAGTTCTGTAGTTGGTTAAGTGTTTTTACTGATAGACATCTTGAGCAGGTTTTCAAAATAACAGTTTTTATTATCTTAGATATAATAAGGAGCAAAAACCTTTTTCCTGCAGAAGCAGCGTGAGAAATTACTGCGTTGGCCGTCCTGTCTTTTCAAACAAGCTCTGCCCAACTTAAAACACCCGCATTCCGAGGGTTCTTGTGCCCTAACTCTCGTGGCTGTTTTTCCTACTGAAGGAATAATATTGCAAGAGCTCACCTTCCTTCTGTCCCCTTAGGTCCCATTTGTCCACAGCACAGCTCATCATGGGGCCTAAGGAGAGGGAGACCCTTTCCTTTGGCGAGGCCGGAGCTCACGGTGCTTGGGAGGCTTTTCTGCATATCGGTCATAGGGTGGCTGTACCTTTGCTTTCGTGACACTGTTGGCAATACCTGGAACGTCTAGAAACCCACTCCCACTTACAGCGTTCCTGCCTGACTCTCCCACGTGGGAGACGATCTCCGCGGAGCCAGCGTGACAGGAGGGAGACGCCTGTGTGCTTCGAAAGCCCTTGGAGAGCTCGATGTTGGACACAGCCCCGCCAACGCAGACTGGTGGGAATTGCCCATATTTCAGACCATCCATACAAGCACCTGCTGTAACAGTTTGGGAAAGTGAGGCAGAGGGGTGTTAAGCCGTTAGCCCGGCCACAGCGAGGGGCCCCTGCCCCACTGCGGGCACAGGCGCCCCCAGACGTCCCCAGGCCTTGGGCGCAGCACACGTGGACCAATCCCCAAAGGAGAGGGTGGCAGAGAGGGGACGGGCCCGCGCAGGCGACAGATGCCAGGTTGCCCGC